ATTGTTTCCTTATTTTATTTATTAGACATTATAATTGAGTCCTAAAGTAGTTTTTACTTTTTCTCAAAGTTAAGTGGTGAAATCCCTACAATTTTAAGAACATTATGATGCAAGAGAGAATTTTCTTTGGTCCTCTCTTGTATGAGATTCAAAAGATCTCAAAACAGAAACAATACTATAATACTGCCAAAAAAAAAAAACTCAGGAATTACGAATAACATAGTTTACATAATATGTATCAAGACTGGTTTGTTTGTATAATGTTTCTGAACAAAGATGGTCTTACTATGGTTAGTTAGGAGGAATAGCAGATGACTCTGTAGACAAAGGTGATGAAGGATGAATTAGAGGAAGAAATTAATAACAGAATTACAGCAAGAAAGAGAAGAGAAAAGGAAGAGAAGGAACACGTAGAGGAGAAAGAGGGAAAACAGGGGAGGAAGAGTGGGCAACCAGCCAACACTAATAATTTTCATCCATCCATCGTCTAACTCAACAACAATGAAAAACCATATAAATAGTAAAACCTAATCTACTTATGACGGGCTTGGGTCAACCCACTACTACAAGCCCAATAATAGAAAACTTAACTAATAAAGTCCAATAACAATAAAGACTAAATCTCGATGATTGATGTCCGCCTCACAAGGCAATGTCATATTCAATTCAGCAGCAAGGAACTCATTAAGTATAGGTAGCTACATGCATTCAAACANACTAAATCTCGATGATTGATGTCCGCATCACAAGGCAATGTCATATTCAATTCAGCAGCAAGGAACTCATTAAGTATTGGTAGCTACATGCATTCAAACATTATGCTTCCTTCTGATCTTACCCTTGCCATGGTGCTTCCTCTTGGCAATCTTGATTTTCTTTTTCAGCTTTTTACCGATGGGTTTTAATGCTTTCAAATTTTGACTTCCGTCAGTCATCTCCACATCTGCTAACCAGTGTACTCAATATTAATATCGTTGTACCAGAATGATGAAGAAAAGCTTACAAACAAGCAACTATTTACTCACTAATCATTGAGTGTACAAGTAATCAGATTATCTAAACATGTAAGTCGTAGCAGTTCAGCCATGAATGAACATGGTGGCGAATCAGGGGAAAAATAATATTTTCGAACAAGCAAACTCATGACATGTGATCCACGTTTCAACCACCAGTGGTAGCAACTCAAAATAATTGTAACTGATACTCTTCTTCCACTAGATGCTCCTCTGCAAACTTAAATTGCAAAATCCCCACCACATAGCTTCAATACATGTTTGTACAATGAAAGGAGGTTATAATTTTGAAAGTTCTTCCAAGATTCTTTAAAAGTGATATGCTCTTTATTTTAAAAAGCCAAAACTTTAAAAAAGGTTCCAATATTTTATTTTATTTTTAACTTTTTAAAATAAAGAGTCGATTTAGAGAGTCAAACTCACTCTCCATTTGTATTTTATTAATGATTGTATTTAATGAAATTGCAAGTTTCAATACTCCACTACTTAATTATTTATATTATATTAAATAGTTTAGCTATCGACATCTAAAGATATATATATCAATTGAAAAATAAGAAAAAATAAAATAAATGATTGCAGGAAAAAATAAAATAAAGAGTTTGTTGGAGCATACAAAAAACATAATTTTAAATTTAAAAATGCTCTCTATTACGACTAAGATGCTCTTTAATTTTTAAAGAGTCTCGTTGAGATGCTCTTGTACCTTGAAAGACAAAATGCCTTTAAGGATTAACCCTTGGCTTTCTCCAGTGCCTTCTTTTAGCTAGGGGTGGGATCTTCACGTT